AAATATCAATACAGTATATCATGGTCTCGAAAAGAATATTCTAAATAACAAATTATTTGGGAAAGAATATGAAATGATATTTCATTGAATACAATAACTATATATTGTAGATTGCAAATAAAGATAATAAGGGATTCAAAATCAGCTAACAGAAGGAAGGGGGAGGGAATGAAATTAAATTTGTGGAGCAAAATGATGGACTTACTTGACGGTGGACATTGTCCACTGCTGAATGTGACGTCATCGAGAGCGATGTCTCCTCTTACTCCGTTCCCAACCACTCCTGTAAACTTTGCCTGTAAGGATATATAAACACAAATTGACCTAATGAGTCGGGGATAACTTGATAATCTGAATTCAAGTTATAATACACTGAATGTTTAATACTAGTAAATTACTAGTTTTAACATGTTGAGAACAATTGAGAATATTTGATATATTTCATAAATTGTTTTGATGAGTCAGGGATAACTTGATAATATAAATTCAAGTTATAATAGACTGAGTGTTTAATAAGTGAGTAATTATTACGTGATTGAGAACATTTGAGAATATTTGATATAGTTTACGAGTCCGCACGAGTCGTGGGATATACCCTTGTATCCCTTAGGCAGTTGGAATACCATTGTGTGTTACCTTTTGAAAAGTGCGAACATTACAATAATGTCTTACGTAATTCGGACACGATGTTTTTATGGGATATAAATATGTGTATATAAATCGAAAGTCTTTTTAAGCGTGTTAAAGTAATCGTCCGAAAACTCAAAAATGTTTTTTAATTGATGCGAAATTCATATTATTGCAATGGGACCCCTTCCTAATAAAAAATAACAACTTCCCTCTTCAAATTACGATTGAGGTCTGCAGTAATCAACTCTCAAAAATGTTAATTTTGAGATCCAGATTGTTTGCCTTCAGTGGTCCTCTGTAGAGCGTCAAGATTTGTGACGTCACATGTAAGACACAGCTAGCCACAGCATTGCATTTTATGCCTTTCCATGATATCTATATTATTTTTCCGCAAAATATTCGTGTTTTTCAAGAAAAAATCTTTACATCCATATAACATTTGTCCATAATTATCAGTTGTCGTGAATTCTGTTCGGATGACTAATTCAAACAATACCAACAACAATAAAGAATAACATAACAACATTGATAGCAAGCAATCACTTACTGTAAAGTCACCAGTCACGTGGATCTGTGCCATCATCCACTCACTGCCTTGGTCTCCATCCCGCGTCCATACCATCTCATCACCGCCGCCCCCGCTTCTCTGGGCGTAGACCTCCAACCGATTCACATCCGGGCCGTTCATGTGATACCACCACGTGACACACAGTCCGCTGGAGCCAGTTGCCATTGGAACGGACAACAGTGACCCGTGCTCACCTAGGAGCTGGCCATCAGCCTTCACGTAGACGTAATATCCTTATTTTGAATACAAATTTTAAAAGGAAATTAATTTGTGTTGATGACACTTTTAATTTCGTTTTTTTTATTGCAAAATATAATATTTTTTCAACTAGATGATTGAAGAGAAGTTTTGTTTGTTATGTTTTCAAAAGAAATTAAAACATCCTTTCGAAGTAAAAAAAAAAACAATTTATACACAACAAACGAGGTTTGTTCAATTTCTTGATAAATGGAGGCATGCATGTCCGATTTATCTAAATATTATAATTTTGTTTTTAATTTTACCCACATTTGTCAAACGTATGTATCCAACTTTTTTTTTTCTTCATTTGCTTATCCCGTGTTTATTCTTTGATAAAAATTGGATAAAGACTTTATTTGAAGAAAAAAATAAAACTTTTTCTTTCACACGAATAACAGAGAAACAGATATGATCGTCTTCACATGCAGACTGTGAATCAGCCAGATTTTGTTGTGCAGTTACTGTGAACACAATTATATGCAAAATTTGATATGCTCTATCTACATTAACAGGTGACTGGAAATTTATGTTTTTCACTTATCTAGTTTCAATATTTCCCTATGTTCTTTGTTTTTAAGGACAACGATACATTTAAGTGTAAAGCGTTACATGCATAATTATGAATAGCCATTATCCTATCGATACTGCCTTGCATTTCAATGTTGTAGGTCAAAACAGAGAAGAGATTAATTGAACTTAAAATTAATATGGATTATTTAGCGAGAAGGAATTCAACTTACCGTTTGTGTTAGTTAGGGTGTGGTCTACTTGCGGTCCAGTTCCTGCAGTGGGCGTGGACCCAGAGGCCCGTATCCAATCGAAATCATCATCTGTATCATCCTGGCTGAAATCACACAGGTCCGTCTCAAACGTGCACACAGATATGACAGGAGCTTGATGGGAAGAGGTAAAGAGAGAGAACGGGAAAAAGGTTTAATGAATTGAATTAAAATCTATTTATTTTTATAAAACGACAGGTCAACGGAAGTCATTATACTAAATAGATAAACGAATGAACATGAATAATGTATATACTTCTTATGTCAAACAGAACATTAAAGGCATTGTTTATAAACAATGTTACCAGTTTAACAAAATATATGGAGGTGGTTTTATTCGTATTTTTATAAATCACCCGATATGTAGTTGACCTAAAACTTTTACGATGGCCATCTGTTAGCTTACCAGTTTCTAGAGAAACGTTCTTTGCCATACTTGTGATTGTCTTTGAACGGGCATTTTAAAACTATTATTACTACTTTTGACAGACCAAACTTGAAAAACCAAGTAGCTGTAAATTCCCCCCCCCCCTTTTTCCCCAGGGAAAATATTCAATTTATAGACTTTTTGCTTCTGTGGATGACTTCTAGATTACAATAGACTGGTGTACAAACACAATACCTGGGGTTGGTGTAGTGCTTTGAATGGGTGCTGCTGTGGTAAGTTGTGAGCAAGGAACCATTTCTATATCCACGTCATCGATGGCAATATCGCCATTAAAGTCGATCAAGAAAATTGCTTCAATTTGGATCTGTAATGCATATATAAAGAGAACATCAATATCAGACAGTGTATCTACATGAACGAGTTTTGTACCGGACTCTCGCAATTCCACTTTCACAATCAAAGGTGTCATCACAACAAATACCAACATTATTACTTTACATCATAATAATGTGAACAAATTAATGATAATCAGCAATACATCACACTCGACATAATCATCCTCATCATCGTCATAATCACTATCATCATCATCACCATCATCATCGTCATAATCATCACCATCATAATCATCATCATCGTCATAATCATCATCGTCATCATCATCATCTTCATAATCATCATCATCATAATCATCATCGTCATTACCATCATCATCATCATAATCATTGTAATCATCACCATCATCATCATCATCATCACTACCACTTGTAATCCAATCATATTAATTTCATCACCACCTATTAAAGGTATATCTCATCATCAAAAACAACTAAGGCAAACACAACCGCCACCATCATCATCATAATCGATTACAAAAAAAATCTTTACCCTGAATTCAGCATCGCTCGTGAAAGGAACCAGTCCCCTTAGCCAGATATTTCCTTGGTCACCGCTCTTGGACCAAAGCTCAGCCTGTGATCCTGAGTTGTTCACTGAATACACGTTCAGCTCCCCAACACCTGTAAAAAGTACAAAATAGTTCAGAGAACCTACCTGCGACAAAACGTACATCGCAACAAAATATTTGTGTTGCAAAGTACGCAGTTTGGTTGCAAGTTAATATCATTAAGATTAGGCCTACATACATAGCAAAAACTGATATTTTTAATTTCTCGGGATGGGGTGCTCGCATGTCTATTAGAAGTGGTCTATATTGCTTGTTTTACGAAGAGAGAGATAGAGAGAGAGAGAGAGATGATATTTATCTTACCTGCGCCAAACATATGATACCACATAGTGAGACAGCCCTCATCGGTAGGGTCGAAATGCTCACTGTTCAGGATGGCATTCTCCCCAGGCTGGATGGCTGGGTGAGATGTCTCAAAGTATACGTAATAGCCTGTTGAAGACAAATTAAATCTCAATTAAGGTCGCTTGTCAGAATCTAGGCCTTGTTTCATAAAACTTGTTATCAATCCAAAATTATAAATTTCTTTGACAATTTTGCTCTCAGCCAATCAAATACCATTGTTTCAGTAGCTAATAACGGTAATTGTTATTCTTGTTTCTTGGTAACAAGTTTTTATAAAACAGGGCTGTGGTTTCCCAGGTGATTAACAATGAAAAGGAGAAAAGAGAGGTTTAAGTTTTTTCTTAAAAATTGTATTGAAAACAAAAAGTATGTATCATCAGAAGGTAATTTTTAACAGGTCCAAACTGTAAATTGACATGAGTAGTACAATGAAGGACAACAAAAAAATCAACAACTGCAACAAAAACAAAACAAGAAATAAAATTACAGGAGGCGTGATGGCTCAGTGATAGGGCAGTATTCTCCTAACCGGGAGGTCCCCGGTTCGAAACAAAGTCGATGTGCTTGTGACTTTTGGTAACACATTAATCCTCATTACCAAGTCTATTGGAGAGGAGTTAAAGTCGTCGGTCCCCTGGTTTCTTAGTGACCAGCACACACATTCTTGGTTAGCTGTCAGCTAAAACAAACAAACCGATAAGAAAAAACAGAAATAGCGCTTTACAACCTTCGGCTCAAAACTATACAAGCTGTTGATGTATACCTGCAGCTGAGCCAGTCGTATGGTCCTGGCTAGGTCCTGTTCCTCCACTCGGTGTAGACCCGCTGGTCCTAAGCCAGTCCCAGTCATCATCCTGGATCTCTTGTGACCAGCCACACAGCCCGGTCTCAAAGTCGCAGGAACCTGTTGGATAATGAACAAAAGCAAAATAATAACAATCATAATAATAATAGTAATGATATTGTTTACCCAGGGAAGCATCATAAGCGTCAATGCTGTTCTTCCTGAGGGCCCTGTCATTAGTACTACCCAAAGATTGCCAGGTACCCATTTACACCCGGGTAAAGAGTGGAGAACGTGGATTAACGTCTTGCCAAGGAAGTGATGGGATGGGATTCGATGCTGAACCCCTGGATTGAGAGTCAATTAAATACCACGACACCTCCATAACAAGCTTGTTTCGCCGTTTGCCATTCGAGCACATTTAACATTATAGGTAATAAAGCAGGTATTTTGTTTTCATCTTCAGCGGGCGGGATTTACTTTTTTCCTTGAAACAGTTTGTTATTATTCTTTACAGATTACACCCAAATATGCCTACGGGTGGGGTATTTTAGTTTTAAGCAATTTTAACAAACTATCATTCAATATTTTCCATTCCCATAAATTTGTCAGAAAGATATGCATAACATTATAAATTATCGAAAAATTATGACAGGATCCAATTTGGTAGTCGCCATAAATAAGCTCATAGTAGGCGTTTGCAACATTTTCATCTTTGGTACACTCCATTGCAACGATTTACCATTGTCGTTGAAAGATCGATGACTTTGCCAATTAAACTATTCAAAGAATGACTCATAGGAATATTTGTAATACCTTGCTTTGGACAGGCACCAGGGATGACCTCAGTATCGTCAATAGCTATATCACCCTGAACACCGCTCCCTCTGACGCCCTCTATGATGATCCGGTAGCGATGAGCAGATGAGATGTCAACTTGAGCAAAGCGCCAAGCATCTGACGGAGGACCTGTTTGGCACCAACAAAAAAGATTAATATATTTTTGAGGCGTACTAACTTCCTAATACTTAAGAAGAAAATATATAAAAGAGATCGAATCTAGACAACTTTCAGATGAGACAACGACCAGATTAATATCATACAATGGGCAATAAACTGAATATCTTTGATCACTTGAGCCCTACTATTTCAAGGAAAATGTATTTGAAAGAAAATATTTCAAGGTTAAGCTTGGGCGAAAAGAACGCAGTTTTTCATTTAGTGGTTGTTTGAATAAAGGACATCTACTTTTCATTTTCTTATTGAATAGTAAAAAGGCAGACCAGGGGGGTGTTTCACAAAGATCCTAAGTTGAACTTATCTCTAAGTTAGACTTACAAATTATGAAGAGCCATTTGTAGCCTCAAAATAAAATATATTCAAAAGCGAAAATTCAAGTATTTTAGACTTTTCATAAATTCCACATCAATAACATTAAAATCTCCTTGATAATTGAAAATATGAATGTTTTGACTCAACATTTAATGTCTTTTAAATAACTTTTACAAAATATTTTCAATGATGCTAACGGCATTCCATAATGTTTAAGTCCAACTTAGAGATAAGTTCAACTTAGGATCTTTGTGAAACACCCCCCAGTTGTGCAGACAATTTCAAAGCTTCTTCGAGGTAATCAATGTAAAAATACTGATCTACACCTGTGGCATTCAGTATTGTGTACGAGAAATATTAAAAGGGCTTATTCCGATTCATCGGATCTTCGCGTAGGGTCGGGTGGTCGTGTTACCCGACATTTTGTGAAACATGCCCCTTAATTCACAAAAGGTCGGGGTAATTTTTGTTTTAATAAACCCCTCTCATGTACAAGTGGTCTAGTACAATATTCCCTACACTTTATGAGAATCCTATGGCAATTCTACGAAAGGTCGTGACCACCTGACCGGACGCGAAGACCCGATGGTTTGAAGTAAGCCAATAATAGACAGTATAAAAAAGAATCAAATTAGTATTTTAGAAATGTTTATTCCTCGATGAGAGCACTATTTCCAAGAACTGACCTGACTTATCAAAGAGTGGAGCACTCGTTGACCCCGTGATCTCATCTTTAATGTAGACGGTCAATTGACCTATGGCCTTGCCCAGGAGATGATACCAGAACCGGAAGCATTCACTACGCGTATCAAGGTACGTGGGACTGATGAGGTTTGCTCGGTCACCCTGTACTCTGGGTGAGGATACCTCAGTGAAGGCATAGAAACCTGAAATGGAGGATATGAGACATGTTAATTGGCATAATAATTGCTGTTGGAAATTGGTGATGACAGTTTTGTGTAGGCAAACAAACACGAAATGAAATATTTGAAAATGTTTATTTAATTGATTTGTTTTGATTTGATTTGATTTGATTTTTATTTATTCCATTAAAATCAACATTTATTAATGTATAACATTCATTTAACCTGTCTACCATTTCAGTAATTCCAATGAAAATAAATACTCATCAAAAAGTTGATCAAGAAAATTGAAAGGCCTTTTAAGAATTACAGCCTTAAAGGCAGGCTTTACTACTTCAGATAAAAGGGATTAGACCACGCAGCGAGCCAGCGAGGTCACTGTGACAGGTGGCTATCTCATTAACTCAGCTCTCATTTAACATAAGAAAAAGAGGATCCTGGGGGACCAACAGGCACCGATTGGGGAAGTTGTCTATATAGAGGGAGCAAGTAGCTACAAGTAGGACAGTGTGCCTTTTAATGGATGGCAACTGTTTTAATTAGTATGCCTAGACGTTGAGGAACGCACATTTAATTAATATAAAGATTGTAAATAAAACTCTGCATACTCAAGCGAAGCTCGTTCATTATGACTGTATACTTACATCGAGATAATGGTTCAACATAACAAGTATATACATAACAGTATAATTGAACAATAACCCTCTTTGAGAATCATTGTGTATACCCTACATCCAGGATAATTCACCCATATTTTAAATAAACTAACCTTCTGTTGTGCCAGTTGAATGGTCGTAAGTTGGTCCTGTGTTACTAGATCCTGTTCCTCCAGCATCCCTGGTCCAATCAAATTCATCCGTCTGGTCCTGGGCCCAACCACAGAAGTCCAGCTCAAAATCACAGGTTACTGAAATATAATGGATGATATAGATTAAAGCTTCTTTTAATCTATTGTAAATGTCCTACAATTGTACAATAAATATGGATTAGTACTATATAGTAGAGAGCGGTAGGTAGGTAGGTAGCTACATACGTACATAGATAGTTAGATAGATAGAAAGAGGGAGACAGGGAGAGAGGGAGAGAGAGAGAGAGAGAGAGAGAGATTGAGAGAGAAGGGGTGAGGCTTGAGAGAGGCAAGTGTTTTGTAAAGATAAAAACAGAGACGAATAGTTTAAATAAGAAGAAAACAAAGCCGAAGACACGGTTATTATACATGTCATAGTTGGGAAGAACAGGAGAGGGGAAATGAAGTAATATGATGAGTGTTATAGAGAGAGAGAGAGAGAGAGAAATACAGAACTGGTGGGAAAATTAACAGACAAAGAGAACTGGAAGATACGTGAAAGAAACTTAAAAGTAAATACAAGCAGAACAAATAAATCATTAAAAGTGTTATAGAGGGAGATATATACATATATAGACAGTGTTAGACTGGTGTCCGTTACCTTCTTGTGGGCATGCTCCGTCATACAACGTAATGTCGTCAAGAGCTATGTCTCCTAAGAAATTATCACCAACAACACCTTCAAACATGATCTATGGCAAAATATAAGAACACAATACAAAATAGACAATCAAAATCAACAACGAAACAAAAAATGTACACTCGCATTAATGTTGCCATATTACATCCAAATCATATTTTCATGACACGAACATTAATGTCAAAGAATAAAGGACATACATCTGCTTTGATGTTTGTCAATAAAAATGTATCTATATATGGGTAGCCTGACAACCTTCCCGCAGATGCAGCGATCTGTTTATTAAAAAAGTATCAAGGGAAGATTGATTTAATTGGGCTACCATAAATGTCACGTTAAATGTTACTTTTCAGCATGGGTGGCTGGCAGCATTAATAAGTAAGTCTTACACTGTACTTACATTCCAGTTTTCTGATGACGTAATCTCCTTCTGTGCCTTAAACCAGACACTCCCCTGCGAGCCATATTTGGTAAAGATCCTCACATCCTGTTGCCCCTCCCTCTTTAGGTACGCGTTAAACCGGTTGATGTGCGGTCCGTACATATGCAACCAAAACACTAAACATCTGGGCGTGTCTCCCGTCGGGTTCTGGGCGGGGCCTAGAAGGTGGGCGCGGTCACCAGGAATGACGTAGCCGGAAGCTTCGATGTACATGTACCAGCCGGATCCGGTGGTGTGGTCGTAGGTGGGGCCTGTTTCTAAACTAGGCGTGGCTTGCTGGTTTCTCACCCAATCAAAATCGTCGTCAGTGCAGAACTGCGTGTAGGAGCACGTGTCCAGCTCAAAAGTACAGTCCATTGCTAAAAGAAGAACGCCGTTAGATAAACGTGGATACTTAGCACGAACTATATCTAAATAAATGTTCTCTTATGCCCAAGAGAAATGTAATGTTTTTATATCTGATGAAGATTGAGAGGTATTAAGGTTTAATCTGCATTGTCATTGCTTGGATATTTTGACTACAATAGTTTTTTTTATAAGCGTGACACAGTTGAATAACAAAGATTTATATCCCGAGTCACAGTAACAACCCAAAACTTGAGAAAAGAGAGATAAATACAAAAATAATCAAGGCGAAATAAAGAGAAATACAATAAAATGTTCGCGTAGGAAGACTTTCGAGTGCCGAAATAAAGAAAATGACAATGAATGAAGAGAATAGATTAAAATTATTTTTCATTCATGGAAAAACAAAAGGTGAGCAGAAATAAAAATCAATTCTTAGCATTTTAAAGAAAGCCGTCATCCTCCTATCAATGTAGGAAATGAAACAGCTTTTTAAAACGATATAGGACGCCTGGCTACATCCTAGCCATATCATTAGCGTCTCGGGACATTCTAAAGCAATGATTATTACTCATACTTACACACTACAGGGATGGTAGAAGGACTAGCCCCACATGAGTATGGATCTATATCTACGTCATCTATAGCTATATCGCCCTTCACAGCTCCAGTCGATACTGCTTCAAAGGCAATCTGAACATAAATCAAATAAAAATATGTAGCAATTTAGATGAACATAAATTTTCTAAATATATATATATATATATATATATAATATATACATAATTACATTTTTTCCTAGATTCATCTTTATAATCGATTCCATGATATGATACTTCCTCATCGACAGAACTAGGACTTTATTGATCCGTCTTGTACAATTTCATGGGAACAAACTTAATATTCAAATGTAATTGTTTATTGGTAAATCACCAAACGGATGTTTAGTGGACTTCATGCAGGGAATATAAAGGCTATTTTACAAACATATCAATGCTAATTCCTATGTGCAAGGGTGTGTCTGTGTTTGCGTGTGTTTGCGGGTGTGCGTGCATGCGCCTGTGTGTGAGTAGTTCATGTATCTCATAATTCTGTAGTGTTCCGCAAGGTTATTGAATAATAATGATGATGATAATAATAACATAGCAATAATTATAATGATACTAATACTACCACTGTTAATATTAATAATAACGAAGCTAATATTTATATAGCGCTTAGTACTAAATGTTTATAATGTTTCGAAGTGCTATTCATAGGTTACCCCAGTATGAGTTTAAGAAATGGCTACACGAATGGTGATATGGTACCTGGTATTCGTCATTTCTGGTGACCTGTGCTTCTCCTTTGAGCCACACATCTCCTTTGTCCCCTGTCATCTGCCAAACCAGAGTTGCAGTGCCAGCAGAATCTAATACATAAACGTTCAGATCACCTATACCTGTTGACATGAAAGAGTTGCCTTGATTAATGCAGTTTCTCAACCTATGGGGCTGTTAATATTGTGCGCAACGTTGATTGACATCGAATACAAAGCATAACAGAAACGCCTTTTCAAAGGCTTTATGTACACAGTAGTTTTTAATTATTATTTGGTCATTTCGTTTTTTTAAATTTCACATTATTTAGGAACAAAATTTGTGTTTGAATACATTTTCAAAGGCTTTGTACACAGTAGTATTTAATTATCATTTGGTCATTTCGTTTTTAAAAAAAATCACATTATTTAGGAACAAAATTTATGTTTGAATACATAAACCACTTGAATCTCAATATCGACACAGTGATATTATTCTATGTGGAATGTGCATTTATTTCTATCATTGCAACATTGATCCAAAGAAAGCTTCGTAATTATTGTCATTTAGTATTTGTGGATTCAACTTTATTACACTTATCTCATATGGAACTTTAATGAATTCTAGAAAGTGGTGTCGATTGATTTTGAAAACAATTAAATAAAATAATAAATAAATAAATAAATGAGTTAAATTAAATAGTTTCAGAAGATTTATACTCTTGCTGGGGAATAGCCCTTGATAAGCATTCCAACTTGCTCGTCCCTCCACATTATACTCTTCACGGTCTTTACTGCATATTCCTATTTGTAATGTAATATTTAGATTTTCTCTCGCATTTTTGTATACATTTTACTGTTTTTATGATTTTTGAGGCAAAAAATGAATTGAATTGAATTGAATATACGTACCTGTTCCGAACATATGATACCAAAAGTATACACAAGAACCCGACGAAGCATGGAAATGCTCACTGACTAACCAAGCAAAGTCACCGTCTCCTGAACCTGATCCCAGATCAGACGTCTCAAAGTACATATACATGCCTGTATAAATGTGAATGAGAGAGAGAGAGAGAGAGATAGAGAGATAAATAGAGAGAGATGGTAGAGTGAGAGAGAGATAAATAGAGAGAGAGAGAGAGAACACATGAAGGAGGCGCGATAGCTCTGTGGTAGAGCAGTGGTCTCGTAACTGGGAGGACCCAGGTTCCAAACCTAGTCGATGAGCTCGTGCTTTTTGTCAAGGCATTTATCCTCATTATCAAGCCTTTCGGAGAGGACTTAAAGCCTGGTTGTGAACTTGCAAGCATAGACATGCGTGCTTAGCAGTCAGGGAAACTAATCATCGATCAATCACTAATCACATTAAAAATCTACTGAATAATACCTGAAGCAATACCCGATACGGGTAGCGTCTTATTAGAACAATTGCGCAATCTTTTCCATAAAGTTGAAACAATTTCTCCTAGCTCTTTTCGTGATTTACGGTTTTGTCATTATGATGTATTTTTCATTATAGAAGTTTATATTTTCTCGGAACGTTATTGATCAATCTTAATAGCATTTTGTAAGCAAAAGTGTACATTTTCAAACGTACACATATCTAACTATAGTAAAACTGAGATTAATATTGCATATTAAATAATACTTTGGTGATTAATACGAATAAATAAAATTAACCTGTACACATTCATTTGTATGTATCATTAGTATGCTCCACGAACTGTTCTTTTTTCTTCCATAACCACCATCTACAGTAAAAAATTAAGTATGAACATAAAACAATCTGATGAAGGATTTGAGCGAATACTCAGGTTATAATATAATACGTTAATAGGCCTTTAATCCCCCCAAAACATACATGTATAGAGAGTTAGGGTGTGTTTCCGGAAAGCAAACCCTCTTACCAAAAGATGTTCCATAGGTATGGTCAATGCTGGGTCCGGTGAAGTTGGACGGTGTAGCTCCATTGTTTCTGAGCCAGTCCCTCGTATCAAGGCTAGCTTCGTTAGACCAGGAACATTTGTCGGTCTCGAAATCACAGAAACCTGAATAACAAAACCATAAAACGAATACAAATGATTGCATAACCTACCGTAGACCTACAATCACTAAATCATTTTGTGAGCCATTACGTTCAAACTTTCATTATTGCAGCATTTTATTTCTTTTCAAGTTTATAGTATTTCAACACGGATCACTTGATTTAGCCAACACCCATACATTAAAAAAAAATCACTTACAAGATATATACAATTCAAAATAAGACGCAATACAAATTAAACAATTACGACAGTAAAAGAACAGCGGATTTTAAATCAATTGAATAAAATACAAAGCAAAGAAATGTAACGAGCGTGGTAAATAATTGCGATGTTGACTTAAAAATAACTTGATTCTTAGATGTGATATTATTATATACACATGTTGAACCGTGTTTGAAACACAAGCAGGGATTTCCTTCCATTCTTTTAAAGATTTACTTCTGTCGTTGCAGTTCAGGTATCAAGGTAAAGTTAAACTATTTTGTGTGGGCGTGTGTGTGTACAAACCAAAAGCAATATATCACTATAAACAAATCCTGAACCAGGCAACTATTAGTAAGTAAGCAAACAGGTACATGTCATGAATGATTATGAAATAATCGTTTTGGGTATAACAAATAATTACCAGCTCTGGGACATGGTCCACCTGAGATCTTGACGTCATCGATGGCTAGGTCACCAACTGGGTTCGAACCTAGGACGCCCTCTATGATGACCTCATAAGGATGAGAGGCTGATAAGGTGCCACGCCCGAAATGCCATATACCATGGCCATGGCCTACAAAAGAGGAACACAAATAACAGAGGCGTTTTGATTTAGAGTAGAATAAACATAAATATTAAGAGAGGAGCAAGTTTCAGATGAATAGAAAACAATGAATGGTTTAGCTCTCCTTAGCATTGAGGATATAAGTTCAGATATAAATTGCGTATTTTAGTTGAAACACTTAAGGTAAACTTGATAAAGTATTCCTGTTTCTTGAGGTAAATCTGTTCTTTATAATTATTTTTAATGAATCTGTGTTAAAAAAAAAGATTAAAGTTCTAACTATTTCATCGTGAAAATATGCTAAGGTCACCGATCTACAAATAGGAATTAGTGTTTAAGTATGAGATCACTCTAAATGATTCCCGCTGTTAGCGATAAATGATGGTTATTATAGATCAAATAAACCTACGAATAGTTAATGGTGATCAGGGATACAAAGAACGCTACGGAAAAATATCTTTCTCAGCCCTTTGGCATCAACAACTGTAAATAATATATAAAAATGTTTTTCAGCGGCTTTGAATGTTAACACAGTTCCGTACCGTGTTGTGTCCATATATTCGTGTACACATCATTGATGAGATCATGCACCCAGACGTTCAGCGTCCCCCCGTCATCGTCGCCTTCGAGATAAAACCAGAAGTTCAGGCACTGCGTGGATGTGGGCTGGTAAACGGGGCTGACAATGCGAGCGAACTCGCCTTGAGTGCGTGGAGGTGCCGTGCTCACATACGCGAACATACCTATAAGAAACGATTGATCAAAGTTTTTAACTCCCAGTACTTTAATATACGAATTCCACGCAGGAATTTAGTTTTTAGACCTTCATTTACGAATGAAAATAAGAAAGTAGTATAGCTGCATGTGCGTATAAATGAATTTAATACTTATAGTTTTAAAACGTTTTAACATTATGAACAATACAAATCCCATTATAAACATGAACATTTTGAAGAGGCCCGCTGCGTAATCTATCAATTCGGATGTTTTTGTTTTTACCTCTGACATGAACATCACAACATTATACATGAAGTAGATAAACAAAAAACCTCTAATGCTTTCTATTTGATATCAAAGTTCTTCTCCAATTAAAATGCTTCCGTGCAACGTTGGCAACTTTTTATTCTAGCCTTTGGGTTAGAAGCTTTAAAAGGTCCCCGCCTATTCCTAACATTTTTACCTATGGCGAGGTCATCTGTCAATAAATGAATAAACATGAAGCATCTGCAAATATTTTTGATTACTTTTCCAAATAATTAAACACTTCTGTAATCACAATACTGCCGTGAAATGTAATCACTTAAGACTTTTACGTGCATTTGCGGAGGAACCTTAAAACGGATCTAAACTATATCTATATATAATGCAGTCAAACCTGTCTTAGTGGCCACCTCTCTATAGTGGTCACCCGATTCGTCACCCTTTAGACGGAAAGGTATGTTAAAGTGCCTGTCTAGAAATGTCACCTATCTACAGTGGCTACTTTTGTGTTTCCCCTGGGTGGCCTTTATAGACAGGTTTGACTGTACCGTACAAATAAACTGCTATACCTGAAGCTGTTCCAGTCGTGTGATCAGTAGGGGGAGAACCATTGCTACCTATTGACCAATCAAAGTCGTCGTTTCTTCCCTGGGTCCATGAGCAAAGTCCAACCTCAAAATCACACTCATCTTAAAAGACAAAATATATAGAAGTTGACATTTGAAAGGCACAGTTCCACGATTTATGATAACTCCAGAACAGCAAACACATTTTAAAAGTAAACATTCACTTAAATATTGAAAATGAAAGTAGTAGTCTGACGTGTATCTTAGGGGAATCAATAATGAATCTTCTCTTTTTAAAACAGAGTCATTACATTTGAATGATATAATGAGGCCTACATCCTCATAACGAATAGTCGCCTTTTTCAGTAATTCCGATCGAATCGAGGGAATTTTCTTGTGAGGTTGAATACGTGAAATTTCTGGATTATATTTCAAGTGTTTTTACGTCTCCCAAACATAAGATTGAGTAATTATTGAATTATATAATTAAATTATGCAAAGGAATTATGCAAAGATATGTATATATATATATATATATATATATATGATTGCAATCATTTTATTAAAGAGAGAAAGAGAGAGAGAGTGAGATAAAGAGAGAGGGAGAGAAAGACAGAAATAGAGAAAGAGAGAGAGAGAGAGAGAGAAAGAGAGAGAGAGAGAGAAAGAGAGAATGAGAGAGAGAGAGAGAGAGAAGGATAAAGAGAGAGAGAGAGTATATTCGATTGATATTGTATCTTACTTGAGAGAGGGCAGGGTCCTGGGTAGAATATGACGTCATCTATTGCAATATCCCCGTATTTATTTGCCCCACGGAATGCCTCGAAGACAACCTGAGATGTATCAAGAAAATGTAAAGGGAGGTAACTCAGAGGTTACAAAGACAACGTGCGATTGCGTTTATGTTTAAAACACAATCTAGACTGAATGAAAATAGATGTTTTAATTTAGAACAAGTGCTATCTCCTTCCAAACATAACACAATTGCGAAAGTATTACCTATAAAGTATACCTCTAAATTGGACGCCAAATTCACAAAGCATTCTGTCACTCATTTCATGTCTTGCAAAACACTATATACATATAAATATATATAGAGAGTGATAGAGTGATAGATTTAAATATCAATGTAATGCATGTACATATATTACGTATATTTCATTTAAAGTATTGACATTTTTTAGTTGAATTGAATCGAATTAATTTCCACATCTACATTAAAAATACAATTTTTTTTGTTTAATAAAACAAAAACGCACATCTATTTGTTTTTTTTTCAAGTATTAACATCATTCAACACACACCTTAATTTGAGCAGATGCTTGTGGCATAAAAAATATTAAAAAATCATAACTTAGTAGTCAATAGGTCAACCCGTTGACTACTGAATTATCGAATTCCCATAGACTTAACACAGGGACCACCAGGTTCCAGTAAGCAATGGGTTACCCCGTATACTCACCGCCCAACTTGAAATTGTTTTGATAGTTCTCTGGGCCAACAACCATTGATTTCCCTGCGTCTGCTTTCGCGTCCAGATCAGCGTCTCTAAACTCCCCTCTTTGAGCAGCACATTGAACGTGTCCACGTGAGGCCCATACATATGGTAATAGAAACTCAGGCATATTCCATTATCGCCCGGGGGTGATTGCGGATGCGACTCGAGGCGGGCCTTCTCGCCGTTAGAGTTTCCGTTCATCTCAGTGTACATGTAATATCCTATATTATATGACATATCGGAAAACATGTTAATGGATTGATATACAGTGCGTCTCAGAAAAAACGAAACCGAGAATTATCGATGTTTTATCAAAACTTAATCACACTTATAATAAAGAAATGGCACATAATCTGTACAGCTTAGATCCTCTTCTTTCATTTGATGCTACTCATATGATGCATATTTCACGCATGAGTGATAAAAAACAATTTGAAGAAAGGGTACCAATTGGTCATTTGGCGAACGGTATCTGAATTTCAAAGAGAAAATCACATTTGCAAAAAAAGATCACATTCTGTCCTTTCATATGACACCTCAATCAGGAAAAATGAGCCAGGAATAACAAAGTTCTGTTTGTTAAAAGTAATACTTGTATTTCCGAAATTTTATTAAACGAATTCGTTTTCACCTGATGCCTGATATAATAAATAACATTTTATGCAAAATTACGATTTTTTTTTTCATCAACCTTCATCAATGTTACCAAGTCACTAATAAAATTTTGAAAATGCAAGTATTATTATTTCAAATATCTTAGCAGTCAGGCAAAACTTAAAATCAAACAAAGAAACAATTAGTTATTGTCCTACCTGATCCTGTAGTGTGATCAAAAGATGGTCCCGTAGTGCTCGTTCCTGTAGATCCACTATTCCTAATCCAATCAAATTCATCTTCTGGATTCGGAGTTTGGAAGTACCCACATAGATCTTGTTCGAAGGTACAGTTCAAATCTAGATCATGAAAATATAAAACGGTAATGTAATCTTTATAACGTGGATAGTAGCAAAGGTCAACAGTACTGTACAACACTATGACATGACTGACAAAGCAAGCGGACAAAATATACAGTTCCTCTGGTAGACAAAAGAACATCCCTTCACTGCTATTATGTAAAAATGTGTAGAACAGGTGTCACATGCATATTCGCCTTTTTACATAATAGCAGTGAAGGGATGTTCCTTTGTTTACCTGAGGAACTGTATATTTTGTCCGCTTTCTTTGTCTGTCATGTTCATAGTGCAAGTATCACAGCTTCAGTCAAAATTGTCATCTGAACTCGGAGTTTGAAAGTAACCATAGAGACCTTTCACCTTCTGCATACTCTTGTTTTGTTTTAAATGCAAAATGCGTTTAGGATTTAAGAATATAGCTGTGTTATAAAACAGGACTGTGGGGTTTATGAATAGCATTAACAGGCTTACTTCGTACGATCGGGTCTTTGCGTCGGATCGGGTGGTCGCGTTACCTGACCTCTACGAAATGTTGGGTTATATTGTGAAATAAGCCCTTCTAATCTATAAAATGGTCTGGTCCAATTTACCCCACACTTTGTGAAAATCCCACGAAAGGTCCCGTCCTTAACCCTATTTTAACTGGGCTATTTCAGACCAGGTTTTTACTGGGGGGGGGGGGGGGGTCACTTTGATCCCCCCCCCCCCCCCCTAAGATCTCGGCCGTTTCCCTGCCGATCGCCGCGAAAAATTGCATACATGTCAAGTGAAATGTATAGAATACTATGGTAATTTCAATTTTTTGAAAAATTCACTCATTTGCATATTTATGGTAATTTATGCAAATAAGGTCATAAAATTCATATTTTGGCCCATAAATCATACATAATACATATTTAAGCATTCTTTTTCACTACATATAATTGTTAGACCATTTGGAATAATAATACAACACAAAAAATTGGAAGAGCCAGGTTATTCCTTATGTTATCTCTTGTTTTGATAATTTCTTATGTATTTCATTGTTTTTTAACTTATGTATTTTATTGTTTTTGTTGTTTTTGATGTTTTATTTCATTTATAACTACAATTCAACTACTTTGACCCCAAAACAAACACCTAAACTTTAAAATAAACTAAATAACCAATGTTTTATCTCTTTTTAAGGAAAAATGACATTTCCATATGTTTTGTACACAAATCACAAAAATGAGTGATTTTCGGGCTGACATGCGAAGACAAAAGGTCACGTGACTTTGTAACTATACGTCTGATTTTCAAAAAAATCGTTTAAAAAGGTGTGTAAGACTCAAAAGAAAAAAAGTCATGAAAAGAATTTGTTTTATTTGCCGCGGTTTCGGAGTAGTCGCGAAATTTCTACAGGGGGGGGGGGGGGGTCAAATTGACCCCCCAGTTAACGTAGGGTTAAGTGCATTGTCACATGATTTACCGTTCACAAAAAATGCACGTAACGCGACCACCCGACCGGACGCGATGACCCGATGATTATAAAGCCCATATATATTTTACCTGATGATATAGTTTGATTTGCTGCGCAGTTCAAGAAAGAGATTCCATCCAGTGCTACGGTATACGTGGTGGGCTGAACAGGATTCAGGTATATATGGTCGAAGCTCACCTATCAGAATAAACACAAAAACACGAATTGTTTATTAAAAAAACTGATTATCAAGGGGAATTAAAGCAATATACAACATACCATATTTATCCCTACACAGGCAGCAAGACAGATGGTCAACTGAAAATGTGAGCTCAAAAAAAAAAAAATCTTTGTCAGGGTCAAAATAATTCTAAATCTCATATTGTGTAGGTTTGATCGTCTGAAATGTGATCATATTGTAGGTAGGTAGGTAGATATTTAGCTTTAAACAAATTTAACAAATTGAACTTGAAACCTTCAGATAGATTCCTGAATATTTCTTAAAGGTAATACAAAGTTTTGGCAAGGGGTCATGAATTTAGTTAAAATGAACATATAGAAAGCATATGCGATCCTACAATATTCAGTGATCGTTGTCGCGGTTGAAATCGAGTCTAAAGTTATGAAATTGTAAATAATACACGCTTTATGTTTGTAGCTCCCTCTCAAGGTCAAAATAGTAATTAAGCCATAAAACAATGCTTCTTGACTAAAATCGACCGATTAGCTATTCCCGTTAGGAAATTATATATCACAACTACATATTCTGAGATTGTCATGGTCGCAGCTACTGTTGTACGGCCGTAGGCGCTATTTGAAATTTATCAAAATTTACCGGGAGCACCGGAAAATTTTTGTAGTCCATTTTTCTCGAAAGCAGAAGTGTTTTAGGGGCTGAATTTTCTAGTGCTTATAATACATCCACAGGGGCATCCAAATATATCAAAATTGTAAAGAATCAGTATCCACCCAATTTCCCAAATTTCCCAAAACTTTGTATTTCCTTTAATTTTATCGTCTTCTTTTTCTTCTTCTTTCTCTTTCCTCTTCTACTTCTTATTCTGTCTTACTTTTCATCTTCCCGCGATTCTACTACAATTCTTCTTTTTTCCCCCCTATGTGTTCATATTCTCCTTTTTAATACAATTGATTGTGATATGGATTGATCGACTGTAATTTAAACCAAGTTAAATGGCAAACTAGCAACCAATCGATAACTTTAATATCTCTGTTGGCGGGGCCCTGCAATGAAATCGAATGACCCTAACCTGTATCCTGCCGTTATGTTGTCCAATAAATCCAGTCCCTTGCTGCCATGTATTGGGGTTCTCAGATCCCCTCTCCAAGAATATCTGATCCCCGTCTAGGAGATAGGCCCTCAATTCCAGTAGCTCCAGGTCACTACTCATGTAGTAATAGAAGCTGACCTGACATCGTGACCCGGTCGGCCCTATGTCAGGGGTCACGAAGGAGTTGTAACCGAAGATGTTTTGTAGGTACCAGCCTGTCTCTGCAGATAACGAAAATAAGTGGAAATTAACAAAATAAGCGTGCAAAAGTAAAAACAAACAAACAACTCTTAACCATTAGTGATTAGCTACTTAGTTCAAATGATCTTTAGAGGTTTGAGTGTCGAGGTAAATGAGTCAGGCACCTTCCAGAAGCCTCACCTGAGAACGCATCACCTTCAAAAGGCAAAAACTCCTCAAGGTGCAAAATATAAATTAATTGATCTTTAAAGGTTTTCACGGTGTCGTAGATGAGTGAGGACAACTTTAACGGTTATGTGTAGTCCTTAAAACGACTGGGGTTTTCTTTCCTGGAGAGACGTGTTAGTTCTTAAACGAACTGTGGTATATTTATTTCGCTGTTGTAGTTCTGACTGGAAATCTAAGATCTTTGGAAGAAAGAGATGGCATTTCTACTATGATATTTTTCCAGACTAACGTTTACAAAATGAGACAGCTCACAAATTCTGTTGCATTTTTACCAGAACTAAAAATGGAATAGTTCTTACCGAGAGGATCATTGAAGTGATCACGGTCCAACGAGTCTCCTCCCGATCCTGCTTGAGTCCGCTGCCATCCAAAGTTATCTCCCCGACAGAAATCATTATCAAACTCACAATTCCCTGCAAATCACAATAAGTTCATAAGTAGTATTAACGTGGTAATCATGGGTGGCAAACCTTACGTAATACCTATTGATCAGGGGGTATGAATGAATAGATCATCCCCACTGAACAATAGGTATCAATTACAGATCGACACCCATGGTGGTAATACATATTAGCGAAGACGCAAGACATGTTGTATATTTTTGGATAAAACTGCATCTTGTGCAATCATATTAGTCGTTAGATATTAATTAAGAAACACATTAAAAATTACGAAATCAGTGTGTATATATCTAATGTCATTACCTGTAGAAAAAGATTATTTACTAATATTCAGCTTTGCCTACCAATAATTTGTTGTCTTTCAAAACAATACATCATTACAGGTACCTACAGTGTGTTTGTTGTATTTTTCATAGCTGATAAGTGAAAGAAGATTGATATTTTTGTCTTCATAAATTCAAAGTCTTCCTTTGTGTTATCCATTGTCAAAATGAAAATGAGAATAATGTTAAATGTTTGGAGTGCAATCCATGAATTTGATAATTAGTTAATATTTAATATACAAATTAAAATGTTGGCAAGAAAGACTTTGAATTGCGTTAACACATGGAAAGAGTTGACTAAAAAAGAACAACAACTTACCACAAATTGTTTCATCAGCGCCGTTCGGGCACTGCTTGATAAAATCGCACACTTGACTTTGTTGTACACAGGTCCCTTCACCGCAGCTGAAGTCTCCAGGGGCGGGGCAGGCGGGCGGTGTCGTGGGGATCGGGGGTGTCGTACCCCCTGGGAGGGAGGTCTGAGTCGAAAGAGCGCAGTTCAAGAAGCTGATATCGTCGATGGCGATGGTCGCACTCTGTCCGTCGCCGACCACGGCTTCGATGACAACCTACATGATAATATTTTGTTATTTTGTTGTATCCGTTAATCTACCGATGTTCAGTGCTCTTATTTGTACCCCTAATATTTCGTTATCTTATTGTTATCTTGTAACTGTTATCTTTCCTTTTCCTTGTGGTTTTCAGGTAATTATCGCCAATCATTAAGAAAGAAAAAGGTTTCACAGTAGATAAGGATCTCATTAATACCAGAGATTTGTGTTTCTCCTTGACTTACCTCTTGTAGTTTCCCACTGTTTTTAACAGTTGACAGCTATGATGTACTAAAAACATTCGTCGTCATGTTCACAAATACTGTGACGCAATCGAATATTTTACCAAAATACTTAGTTTGAAATATTTGCAACTTATATTTAAAAGTTGGGGCAACTCTATGAACAGGGTCAGAGGCCAATACATTCTCTTTTACGTATTTAGCCCCATTCTCGTGAAGCTGTCTAAACGCCATCAACGACAGCTTCAGCATGACGAAGAATGCTGTACTCACTATTTAAAAGGTATTACAAGGAAGTTTTCAACTAACAACAAAGACCATGAGCCCACACACCTGGTAATCAGACGTTGTAACGATGGACTCCGTGAAGAATGTGAAACTATCAATGGCGTAGTTACTAATGGTTCTTATCAGGGTGAGTGGGCCCCCTACGGTGTAGCGGGTATAGATGTTGAATACCCCCACGTCAGGCCCGAATGCTGAATAGAAGAACCGCATCTGGTGGACAAAATTAATGAGGTGGATTACAAGATTTTGTTTTTAATTGTCTGGTAATTGTTCTTTCTCAGTTGAAATGGATTAGTCCATTGAAGTTTGCAATTTTTCTTTCGAAAGTATATCAAAACAATTGAGGCTAAGGAATCACTTAAGTAAAATGGTTAAAGTGCAATAAAAATAACAGTTATCGTATAATATGTGCTATATGATCATTTCGGCAAGGTAGACACAAAATAAGTTGCGGAAAAGGAGAAAAAAAGGAAAATTAGCAGAAGGAGAAGAAGAGGTAGAGAAGAAGAAGGAGCAGAAGGAAAAGAGGAAGAGAAGAATAAGAAGAGGAATGAGGAAAATAACAACAAGAAGAAGGAAAAGAAGAAGAATTTGATTCGATTTATTTATTTTCCGAATTCACACACACAAACAAATATATTATATTCAGAACATTTACAACATCATTTAAATAGACTTTTAAAACAAACATAATATACAATGTAAACGAGAAAAGAAGAAAACAATAATGAAGTCAGAAGGACACCCAGTTCAGTCAAGCCACGAAGACTAAACTGTTCTTCCATGGGGTCCAAAATGAATGAAAAGAACAAGAGAAAACGGATGACGACAAACAAGATAAACTCACAGAGCAAGTAGTGATCAACCCCGTCGCCTCAAACACCGGGGACACGACCCTCGCTACATCGCCCCTCTGTCTACCAATACTATCAGCCAAGAGGTAAAACCCGCCTTTGTTATTCGTAGTATGATCTCGGGTAGGGGCGTACGACTGGTCACGGGCTAGCGCGGCTGTTGTACGAGTCCAGCTGAAGTCTCCAGACAGAGTTGAGAAGGAGCAGAGGTCAGTCTCGAAATCACATCGGCTGGTGAAGGACGTGGAGTCTAAAGAGGAAATAAATAACGGACGAATGTTACCCCTACTGTTTCGTTGTATATCAATGTGTAAGACACATGTGCCTTGATTAATCATTAGTATAAACAATTATGCTTTATACAGAATGTTGCCTTAACGCGGTCATGTCAGTGTATCTGCACCTCAGGTGAGGTTTTGATGTTGATGCCACAACATAGTCTAAGTTTGTTGACCTGAAATGATTTTTGACCTTAACTTAGTGACCTGAAATTCTACTCCCATAATTGGGGATATTTGATAACCCCTTTATATTAGTCTAAGTTTCATTGAATAAGTACTTATGCTTTAAAAAACTTAGCCTCAGGTTAAGATTTTGATGATAATGCCACAATACAGTCCAAGATTATTGACCGGAAATGACCTTTGACCTTGACTCTGTGACCTGAAATTCTACTCACATTATGAGAGATACTTGATAACCCCTTTAGTTCAAGTTTCATTGAATAAGAACTTATACTTTCAAAATTATATTAAACATTCAAAAACTTATGTTGATGCCGCCGCGGCCGTCACCGGAAAAGCAGCGCCTATATATCGCTTTTGCTATAATTATGCAGGCGAGACAAAAGTTTTACTTTTATTACCATTTCAAATGTCATCGATATTATTGATATCATTATTACTCTTGAAAACAACGATATCTGTGTACGAACCGCATTGAAGCTCATCAGAATAATCTCCGCAGTCGTCATCGAAATCGCAAAGAAACTCGAGCTTGATGCAGGCTCTGTTGGAGCATCTGAACTCATCGATCTCGCACGATGTCTCGGGTCGAGGTAGCGAGCAGCTACTGAAGAAGACGTCGTCGATGGCGATGATGCCGGGGTTGCTGAGGTCGGGTAGGGCTAGAAAGTTGATCTACACGAGGTTCAAAGGTAATGAAAGCATACGTATACTATGACGTCACGATCTAAGCATAAATATTAACTTAAAGCAAAGTTTTTTTGTTGAGACAAATATCTGTTAAATAGCGGAAATGCATGTTTCCCACTAGTTATCATAATAAAATTATTTGAATTATCGGTTTCTGCTAACACATGTCCCTCCATCTACAAAGTGCGATTATTTAATTGTGACATTAAATACTAATGCAATTATTCAATGTCTCACTTGACTTTTATGCAAATTTTAATTTGAACAAATTCATCGGAAAGACTAATAATACATTGGAAATAAATTGGCGTAAAGAGGGGTACCCGATACAACCTCTTTTATAATATTTTTAAAAACTATGCTATATATTACTAATTGCTTGAACCGAGTTTATATTACAATAACATTTAGAATTTAGAGGACATTAGGCAAAGTACTAAAACAAAAGTTCCTCATGAATTGAAGTAAAAACTAGACTTTAATTCGTCACTTTGACGAATTAGGTGATACGTATGCTAATGGTTTACATAATAAAGAATGCATTATACGATATCATATTATTTTATGAAATGCTTCATCCATTAAGATCTATCCATATGTCAAGTTTAAATTGTGTCCCCTTGATCATTATAGATGTAGGGAAGATAGATTGAAAAAATATGACCATTGACCCTGCGCAGTAACCAGTTACACCTTTGATTCTAATTTATATCACGAAGAACACATTTTGACGATTTTATCTTATTCAAAGAAATGAAAATGTAATTGATAAATGATTATCATCATTATGATATTGATGATCATGATAATCATGATGAAGATCATGATCATGAGCGGGATCCTGACATCTTATTGAAAAAATGAGGGGTGATTTAGATAGCACATAGCACAAAATCCAAGCAGAAATAACAGCGATATTGCTCGCAAAAGACAGGAATGTAGAATCCAGATTTGAGAAAAAATTATCTCCCACAGGGATTACACGCAAAAAGTAATGGATTAAGTGAAAAAAGGGAAACACTAAAGTAAATAGGGTTGTTTATTACATTATTTGAGATTCTACGTGTTTAAATAATCAAAGGAGATGGTACAGTGAAAGGTCAAAAGGAAAAAAAAAGGTGGAGAAAAAATTGTTGGAGACACCCGGACTCGAACCCGGGATCTCAAGGTCGGAAGTCAAGTGCGTTACCGATATACCAAAACATTTCTCATAGCGATTACACGTAAACGAAAATGGAATTCTAAAATCCCACTTTGCAAGTAAAATATGAGCATGATCCCGGCATATGATCGAAAAATGAAGTCACATTGGAGATAGCTCATTGTCTCAGCTACAACATATCCGAAGCTCACGGAAAACAAAGTTAAAAAAACGGAGATGTTGCTCGCGAAAGACGGAAATGTAGAATGCAGTTTTGAGAAATAGTCATGTCCCATAGACAATACACGCAAAATTTGAAAAATTGACATGCCTCCTTTAATTGCAAAAATACGCCATGATACCTTTGTCAAACTGGACAATTATGTACACTGCATTTGTAGAAAATTGTCTCAGCTAGAACATATCAAAATTTGAAAGAAAAAAAAGCAATATTTACAGAGATACAATCAATTTTCCAAAAATATGCATCCGTCATAATATGCAAATTTAAATTTCGAGTTCGGAGGCCATTATGATGACATTATGAGTTAATTGAGAGTCAAATGAGACATGAAATCATATTTCCATTTCATAATCTATCCACATATGAAAGAATATTGGGAGTTTCTATCTATTCTGAAGAGTTACAATGAATTTTGTATAGGCATTTTTTTGCCCATGTATTGTGGATAAAGATCACGCAAATCCGCGCGTGCTGTCAACTTTGACGGACGCTCATTGCGTTATTAAAAGGTGAACAAATTATCAAAATGCTTGGAAAAATGTACAAAATACGATGACGGAGAAAATATTGGGATTCTATGTTGCAAAATGCTAGTACGCGCAAAAAACGCGCGCGCATGCGCGTGAGCGAGATTTTTTGTCAAATGCTCTATATGGCCTTAAACGTATGCAAAAAAATTTTGGGATGATTTAGAGCATTTTAAATTTTTAAGCGCGCGTAAACGCGCGCACCTACGCGTACGCGCATTTTTACGCGCATATATTGTCCTCAAATTGACCGGGCGGATATTGACTTTGATCATGACAAATATGAATGAGAAATGGCTTTCCGTTATGAAGATATGATCATAAGTTGATTTTAACAAAATGGCGTCTAGATGACGTCACGATAATTTTGAGTCTTTGAAAAGTCACGCAGTTCTAAGTTAGACTAAGATCTATCATCATTGAAAGTTTCATGGCAATGGCTTTATTCAGTCTTGAGATATCCTGCGAACAAAATCGAGGAAGAATAATAATAAATAACTAGACTTTAATTCGTCACTTAGACGAATTAGGTGATACGTATGATATTGGTTTACATAACAAAGAATGCATTACACGATATCATATTATTTTATAAAATGCTCTTCCCATAATGATCTATCCATATGTCAAGTTTAAATTGTGTCGATCCCTTGATCATTATGGATATAGGGAAGATAGATTGAGACAATATATGACCATTGACTCTGTGCAGTAACCAGTTACACCTTTGACTCTAATTTACATCATGAAGAACGCATTTTGACGATTTTTATCTTATTCAAAGAAATGAAAATATAATTGATGAATAAGAGCTTATGCCTGAATAATTAAAAATGTATAGTGTATGACGTCACGATGTCCCGGCGTAAATGAAAAGTGTGAGAATACATTAGCGATCATTTTGAGTTGTCGACGTGAGATTCACTAGTTGCTTGAAAATAAAATCTTTAAATATCGGATGGATATATACTGTCACTGTATAAAGAATGTGGATTAGAGGGATATTGATCCGTCAGTCTTTCTTGAAGGCTTGTCAATTAAAGGAATACAAAGATTTGAATGTATTTCGCTCAAGAAATTACATACAGCATTGCCAGTAAATTTCACGGGATCAATGTTAAAATCTCCCATTATATAAACCTGTTTATGTTCAGTATGTGTTTTTTGTAAAACATTTTCAACGACAGGGAAATTGCTTTCAATAAACAGTGATTCATAGTTGTATGATGGGTATAATATACATATATCATTGCGTATTTCATATTCAAAATTGTCAGCGACCAATAGACCAACACCTCCACTCTTTTGTACTTGGCGATTAAATTGTATAAATGAATGACCGGATACATTGAATAATAGTGGCGTACTATCATTAACCCAAGTTTCTATACATAAGTACAGATGAAATTGGATAAAGCATTACAATGTATGTTTAAACTACGCGAATTAAAATGTAAAATACTAAAAAATGATAGTTAATGTTACTGAATTCAGTCGTAAAATCCTCATCAATATAATATTTACAGTTCAGAAACCTACTGAAATGAAACTCATATTCTTTTTCGGATAAATAGTTTAAATCATTGATATCAGTATAAGTATCTGTAGTATTACTACCAAATATTGAATGAAGTTCGTCATTATTCAAGTCTTGAATAGGAAATGAACAATGAGAACAGAGTGGGTTATTAATGTAGCCGAATGCTCATGTTCTCTATAACGCTCATTTTATGTATTTTATTACCAGAGAAAAAAAGATGTCAGTCAGTCACTCAATAGTGTCTGAGAGTACAGTCTAGAAAGTAAAAGGGTTTCCTTACATAATTTCAATACGAGGACACTGCTAACGTTTAAGTTTCACAAATAGGACATACGTGACATATTCATCATTTCAACATTCAACTGAAAATTGTGATATGATCTCATCATCTGATCAAAAAACTAAAAGCACCGTTTTTATAGCCCATGGTCTCAGCTATAACATACCCCAATTTGGGAGAAAACAGAGCACACATAAGATAGATAGTGCTCATAGATGAATGCCATGTAGATTCATGATGTGAACGAAATTCACCTTCCATAGACATAACACGCAAATGACGAAAATTCTGACATGTGGCCTTTAATTGAATTTTGTACTATGATGACCTCATTAAAATGAAACTTAGTGAAAAGTGATCTTGTAGAGAATTGCCTTATCTACAACATATCGACATTTCAAAGAGAATCGATGAATATTGAGAGAAATACACTACATTTTCCATAAATACAATGACGTCATAATATGCAATTTTGTATTTTTGACTTCCAAGGCCATTATGATGCCGTCAAGATGTACTTAATGGCCAAATGAGATATGAAATCATACCTCCGACTCATACTCTATCTAAATATGAAAAAAAAATTGGCAATCCCTATTCATCCCAATGGACTTTTCATAGGCATGTTTTTGCCCATATATGCAATGTATTACAAAAATCGCGCGTACGGACGGTTATCTTGAACGGACGCTCATTCCGTTTTTAATAGTGATAAAGAGCTAAACATGGTATCAAATTTTCCGGAAAAATATGAGGAATATTCGGTCAAGAGCTTTTGCGGAGAAATTATTTTTCGTTCGGCCGTGACGAACGAAAACGTGCAAAAATGCGTGTTTTGCGTGATTTTTTATGAAATGCTTAAAATGGCCTGAAACGTATGCAAAAAAAATTTAAGACGATTTTGAGCAATTTAAAATTTTACGCGCGCATTGACGCGCGCGCCTACGCGTACGCGCATTTTTGCGCGCATTTATTGACCTCATATTGATCCGACGGATATTGATCTTAATCTTGATAAATATGAATGTAAAATTACTTTCCGTTATGAAGATATGATCATAAGTTGATTTTTACAAAATGGCGCCTGGATGACGTCACGATGACTTTGAGTCTTTGAAAAGTCACGCAGTTCTAAGTTAGACTAAGATCTATCATCAGTGAAAGATTCATAACAATGGCTTTATTGAGTCTTGAGATATCCTGCGAACAAATTCGAGGAAGAATAATAAATAAAAAAAAAATAAATAAAAATC